GACAGTTATTGACTTTGGAAATTAAAAAGCAAAAAGCAAGAAAATCTTAGCAACTTAGAAATGTTTATAATATTTTATTTAGGGATTTCTGCTCATCAGTATCCAGGTTTCTTTCTAGCTTCCTTTGATGTAACAGATGACTGCTGATGAATCTTGTTTCTCTTCTTTTTTGTGCAGAACCAAGATCTTACTCTAAAAGAAGAATTGAAATAATTGGAATTGCCATTGTCATCCTCCTGATCATCCTGATCATCCTCCAGAGTATCCCCATTGCCCATGTCCTGTCAAGCACCACGGAAAATCAGAAGACCGAGGCAGTTCAAACCGGTATAAAATTTTACTGCAATCTTAAGCTGTCTACAAGACTCTGAACTACTAATAGCCAAAGCAAATTGGTGGTAGACAAGAGTCAAAGGCATTCATGGTGGGCTGGACTTAGATCTCTTGTGGGTGCGAAGGGACTCAAGACTGATGATGTGATTCACCCCTCCCTTGGGCTCAGCCCGGTCATCTCCTACATCTCATTTATTACCAGGGTAAGGAATCCAGACCCTAATCCTGTTCCTGTGAAAAGCTTCCCCATGAGTTCATGAAGCTGAATGACTTCCGCAGATGGGTTAGAAACATAGTGTTGGCCTTGCCCTGCTTTTTAGTCCCTGCAATCTGCTTCATCTAGTCCAGGAAAACTTCAGTTCCTTTGTTTGGAAAAAGTCTCGGTGTTTGGTTGAAAGTATCACTGAATCTTATTTTGTGAGATTAATCCAGAATGAGATCACCAGAAAGGGAAGGGGAATACTCATTTGGCACTAGTGAGAAGAGCAGAAATAATGGTTTAAGGAGCTTACAGGAAAAAGAAATTATAAATAGAAAACAAGTGACTGTAATAGTAAAGGCAAATCTCAAAAAATAAAATGAGCAGACGTGCATTTCTTTATTTAGTGATTTCCTGCCAAAAGCAATAATTGTGAAAAAGATGGACCAAATGTCAAACAGGTTGACCAAATCAGTGGAAAATCTCACAAAGAGATTCATGGCTGAATAAGTAGATTTACATGTGCTTTCTTGGATTCAAATCCACCATGTAAATCACTGCTCAGTCCACAATCTCTATTAATCTGAGGATTATAGAATGGGAGTTGTTACAACAGCTAGAACATTGGGTCTCCTTATCCAGATTGGGTTTTGTTAGAAATCAGCAACAGGTTCTAATTTAGCAGGATGGTCCCATCCTACTTATAAGAACACAAGACGGAATAAGTTAGTTTCTATTCTTTTTGTCTCTTTTTGTTCTAGGAACATCAGTGCCATTAAACTACCAACAGGATGCCTTTTATTGCCCACTTGACTGGTTTGGACATAATAAAAGCTGCTACAAATTGTCAGAGGAGGAGAAGAACTGGAATGAGAGCAAGAACTCTTGTTTTTTGCATAATGCTACCTTGGCCAAAATTACAGAGGAGGAAATTGCGACTAATGTAAGTGGTTTTCACCAGGCTAAATCAGTTCCTATAAATAATGTTGCATCATTGATGATGCATGCTCTTTTACAATGTGAAAAAGTTTTTCTGCTAATACTAGTAAAAAATAAAATCTCCTTAGATGCCTTTCTGAACAAAAGCTTCAGGAGCCTCTTAAACCTTCTCCAGGTTCCAAAGAATGCTGGTTTTACAAATTAAACTCTGTTGACATAGAAAATTAAAACATCATTAAACATCTCTAAACATCATTAAAATTAGTCAGTCATTTACTTATTTCATTTTTTTCCCTGCATAGAAACTTGGAAACATCTAATAATCATCCCCCAATGCATAAAAATCCTCAGAAGCAGAGGAAGCCAAAAATAAAATGGTAGACATTGTCAAGATCCATTCTAGGAAAATCAGTTTTTTTTAACCTTCTACAAAAGGTTTAAAAATTACTTCAAAAAAAAAGTTAACGAGGGTCTCTCGTTTTGCCTTTCATTAAAGGAACTACTACCTGTGTTCAAAAGATGGTTTTAGTCTTTTCAGCCTATATGTAAGTTCAGAAATTCAGCTGGGAATTGTAACGATGCAACGTTCTAACATGCACCATTTTTTAAAGGGTATTATGAGGATGTTCACAAAAGTCCATGTCTTTTGGATCGGCCTCACGAGAGAACCGAATCAACACTGGAAGTGGCTAGATGGAAAAAATGCAACGTAAGTTCTTACTCTTTCCCTTTCAGCTCTTCCCAGCTCAGATCCGATCTTAGAACGAACTTCCTGGCTGCTAGTATTCAGGCGTTGCCCTCTAAAAAGATTTGGCCCTACTAATGTAGTTAAAAACGTATTATGAGGAGTCCTTGACTTATAGCCATTCATTTAGCAACCATTCTGAAAAAGAATATACGTATGACCAGTCTTGTATGATCTGATGGCAACCCACGTGTATTTATTATTTTTATTTTATTTATTTATTCAGATAATTTATATGGGCCACCCAACTCAGAAACTCATTCATGGCGGCTCTGGGCAATTTACAGAAATAAAGCAACAATGCTAAACCCAATAAATCCCTCTCTCCCTGGTGACATCAGACCAGCCAGTTGATGGGCTGCAAATCAACCTGGGACCCCCAGATCTGCTAGCAAAACTCTCACATTGGTTGCAGAATCCCAGGGTCATTGATCACTGTTTGTGACCTTCTCAGCTGGTTTCCATCCAGCAAAATCAATAGGAGAAGCTGATTCACTTAAAAAAAACCCCCACATAATTCACTTAACAACTGCAGTGATCTGCTTAATAAGCGTGGCAAAAAGGTCACAAAATCAGGCATAATTCACTTATGTGAGGGGCTTGGTGCAGTCTGAGCTCCCAACTCACTTAAGAACCATCTTGTTTAGCAATGGAAATATCTAGTCCCGATAGTGATTGCAAGTCGAGAACTATCAGAATAATTATTGTGTTCAGAATCTGAACTGACTCCAGAATGCTGAGCTCCTGGGACACAGATCTACTGTGTCCCAATAGACAATAAACCAACACTTCCTAATCAATGAATTGGAGAACAATCTGCACAATCATCTTTACTTGAGATTTAAAGATAGAAGAGGCTACAGGACATTTTGGGAAGGCTGGAGTATAGTTCATAAACAAGAATTTCCAAACTGCTGTCTCTCAATTCATTAAAAACTCATTAATCTTCTGTTGGGTTTACTGCTCCAACTGAGCCTTGATACTTTTTATTGTAATAGCAATAGCACTTAGACTTATATACCACTTTACAGTGCTTTACACTTACAGCCCTTTCACAGCAGTTTACAGAGTCAGCATATTGCCCCCAAAATATGGGTCCTCATTTTACCTCAGAAGGATGGAAGGCTGAGTCAGCCTTGACCCTGGTGAGATTTGATCTGCCAAACTGCTGGCAGCCGGCAGAAGTAGCCTGCAGTACTGCATTCTAACCACTGTGTCACCACAGCTCTTAATGCCCGTTTCTTAGTGCCCCTTTCTTAGTCTTTTTTTTTTAAACAGTTTATTAGTTTTTACAATTAAAAACAACCAACGATACATACACAAATAAACGAGAGAAAAAAAGAAGGAAGAAAAGAAAGAAAAGATTGAAAAGAAAGGAAAAAGAAGGAAAAAGAAGGAAGAAAAGTTAAAAGCATTCTTATTTTTACAGTTTGCAAGATCTTTTTTTCACAGCCTTTGATTTATGTCATATATACACACCTATTCTATACATATATCACTATCTCATTATTATAGGTTAATACTTTCCTCTTTTGCCTTATGGTATATAATTTATCTTTGATCAATCCAATTGTACCAACAATTCCAACTATCATAATATAGTGAAGTATCTTTGTTTTTTAGTGCCAAAGTCAGTTTGTCCATTTCTGCACATTTTGAAATTTTATCAATAATCACTTCATCTGGTGGAATTTGATGTTGTTTCCAATATTGAGCGAAGGCTAATCTGGCCGCGGTTAAGATATGTATTGTTATGTATTTAGCTTTTTTGGAAATTTGTTTGTCAAAGATCCCTAGTAGGAAGGACTCTGGTTTATATTCGATCTGCTCTTTTGTAATTTCTTCCAACCAAGTTTTGATTTTCTTCCAGTAATTTTGGGTTTCTGTACATGTCCACCACATATGGAAAAAGGTTCCTTCTTTTTTCTTGCATTTCCAACAATATGGACTCATGTTGGGGTGCATCTTCGCTAGTCTCGAAGGAGGGAGATGCCATCTATAAAACATTTTATAAAGATTTTCCTTGTATGCTACCGATTTTGTGATCTTATTATTCCTGCCCCAAACTTTTTCCCATTCCGCTAGTGTAATACTACGTCCTACGTTCCGACTCCACGCAATCATATTCCCTTTTACAATTTCTTCTTCTAATTCTGTTTCTAGTAAATAATTGTAAAATTTTGTTATGTTTTTTTTGTCCGGTCCTAATAAAATTTTATCTAATTGTTGAAGTTTGTTGTTAATTCCAAATTCTTTCTTGTCTTGTTTGTACCTACTTTGAATCTGAAGGTAAACCCATTGATCAATTTTTTGTCCCTGGTCCTGAATGTCCTGCCTCGATTTCAAATTTCCTTGTGGGTCCAATAAGTCTTTATATTTAATCATTTTAGTAATTTCCAGATTGTTTGGGTGAATCATCGCCTCCATTGTTGAAATCCATATTGGTATTTTTATGTAATGTTTTTTCCGTATTTTCTTCCAAATTGTTAGTAGCGCGTCTCTAATTAAATGTCTATGAAAATATTTTTGACTGGTTTTCCCTACGTCCCATAAGAAAGCGTGCCACCCCCTTTGTAAGTCGTGGCCTTCTAGAAATAATATTCTTTTATTAGTTAAATTCACCCAGTCCTTCAACCAAACTAACGAGGTGGCCATATAATATAACTCCCAGTTTGGGACTGCTAACCCTCCTCTGCTCTTCATATCTTGCATTGCTTTTACATTTATTCTGGGTTTTTTCCCTTGCCAAATAAATTTGAGGGTTATTTTGTTAAGTTCTTCGAAGAACTTTTTGTGTAATTTAATTGGGATCGTTTGGAATATGTATAGAAATTTGGGGAGAATGTTGATTTTAATGGTGGCAATCCTACCTAATAGTGAAATTTGAAGTTTACTCCATGATTCTAAATCTTTCTTTACCTGATGTAACAATTTGTCATAATTATTTTCTTTAAGTGACTTACAGTGTGGTGTTAGCCAATTCCTAGATATTTCACTTTCTTTGTCACTTGTATTTCCATTGTTTCTTCTAATTCTATTTTCTGTTTTTCTGTTAAATTTTTGGTCATTAATTTGGTTTTTTTCCTGTTTATTTTAAGTCCTGCTACTGCTCCAAATTTCTCTAGTTCTTTCATCAATTTTAGTCCCCTATCTATTGGTTCTTCAATGAAGAAAATCATGTCGTCCGCAAATGCTTGCAATTTAAATTCCTCTTTCTTAACCGTTAATCCCTTTATATCTGAATTTCGCCTAATTCGCGTTAATAATGTCTCTAATGATAATATGAAGAGCAGAGGAGAGAGTGGGCAGCCCTGTCTCACTCCTTTTTCTATCTTTATTGGGCGAGTGTGTTCCCCGTTTATTATTATATTGGCTTGTTGTGTGTCATAGATAGTTGTTATAATATTTTCAAATTTGGTACCCAGATTCAAATTATAAATTTTTTGAATTAAAAATTGCCAATTCAGATTATCGAAAGCTTTTTCTGCATCTAGGAACATGAGTGCTACTTGTCTCTCAGGGTGGGCTTCATAAAATTCTAGTACGTCTAATACTATTCTTAGATTATTCTTTATTTGCCTAGTTGGAAGGAATCCGTTTTGATCTTCATGTATATACAAGTTTAGCAATCTTTTTAATCTGTTTGCTATAATAGAAGTGAATATTTTATAATCGGTATTTAGGAGTGAAATCGGCCTGTAATTGTTTATATATCTGGGATCTGTATCCTCCTTCGGGATCAGCGAAATCAGCGCCCCCCTCCATGAGTCCGGCATCCTGGCTGCTAGTAAAACGTCATTAAAAACTTCCAACATAAATGGTCCGATTTGTTCTACTATTCCCTTGTAGAGCTCCCCTGTGATTCCATCTGGGCCCGGGTTTTTGTTATTTTTCTGGTTATCTATTGCTGATTTCAATTCCAATTCAGTAATGTCTTTATTTAATAGTTTTGCCATTTCTTCCCCAATTACCTTATCTTTAACTTCATCTAAATAGTTCCTTATTCTATCTTCACTAACCTCTTCTTTTTTGTATAGATCTTCAAAGTATTTATGAATGATTTCTTTTTTCTGTTCTATTTCCTGGTATATATCTCCCTTGTTATCTATTAACTGGTATATCATTCTTTTTTCTTTCTTTTTTTTAATTTATAAGATAGCCATCTTCCTGGCTTGTTGGCATGTTCAAAATAGGTTTGTCTAGTCAAATTCAAATTTGTAATCATTTTCTCTTGTTCGATTAAATTCAATTTATGTTTAGCTATACTTATCTGGTTTTGCAGTTTTGTATCTTTTAGAGTATTCTGTAGTAGAGTTTCCAGCTCCTTAATTCTTTGTTGTAGTTTATTTTGTTGGGAATATTTTTCCTTATTTCTCTTGGCATTATAAGAGATTGTTATACCTCTTATTACTGCCTTCATTGTATCCCATATATTTTGTTTTGTAGTTTCTCCATTATCGTTTTCTTTTATAAAAAAGTTTAATTCCTCCTTTAATTTATTGATGTATTCTTTCTCTTTTATTAATTGAGTGTTTAACGTCCATCTTTTCTTTGGTTTTACCCTACCCTTCCATATTATCTGAATTGGGTTATGATCTGCCCATTCATTAGGCAAAATTTCCACTTCTTTTATTTCGTTTGCTATTTCCCCATTCATCCATGCCATATCTATCCGTGTCCATGTTTGGTGGGGATTTGAATAGAATGTAAACTGTTTTTTCCCAGGATGTAGTCTTCTCCATATATCTGTCAAATTTAGCTCTTTCATCATTTCCCTGCAAATCTTAGGGAGCTCTCTTTTCCCCTTTTTATTTTTCCCGCCGTTGCTGTGGTCTTTTTGATATTCAACAATAGAATTGAAGTCCCCTATAATACAGATGTTTTTTTGTTGCAATTCAACCATTTTTCCATATAGGTGTTTAAAAAACTCTTTTTGGTCCCCGTTCGGGGCGTAAATTACTACTAAGAGAATTGGGATGTCATTAATCCAGATCTGTAAAACCAGAGTCCTTCCTTCCGAATCCGACCATATTGGCTCTGCTTTTAAATCCTCTTTTACATATACTGCAATTCCTTTCTTTTTACACTCGTCTGCTGGTGTGGTAAATAACTTTCCTAATTTCGGGCATTCTAAATATTTTTCATCTTTCTTCATTATGTGCGTTTCTTGTAGGCATGTTATATCGGCCTTTTGTTTGATTAATTTAGTTAATATCCTTTTTCTTTTATTCGTTGAATTTAAACCGTTTATATTTATTGATAGTAATTTTTTTTCTTCTCCCATTTATTTAGTTCTGTTTCGCTCTTTGGCGTGTAACAGCTTCTGTTTCTCCTTGCGTTTGTGTTTGTGTGATTCCTTCTGTCTTTTGTTGCGAATGAGTGTCCTCTTGGTTCCCTACAGATCTGATTCTATTTTTATGTCCACCGTATTCTTCTTGAGAATTTGTCTCCGATTCCTCCCTACTACTTTGCTCCTGCGGGCCCACCATCCGTTCATAAAAGTCCTGAGCTTTTTCCATGGTGTCTATTTTAATTTTCCTCTCTTTCCACGACACTAGCATCCCTTCTGGTATAAGCCATTTGAATGTAATTCTTTTTTGGTTTAAATAAGCTGCCAGAAATTTGTAATCGCGCCTTTGTTCCCTTACTCTTCTCGGAATCTGTTTAAGAATTATAATTTCTTTTTCTTTATACGTTATTGTTTTATCTCTAGAAATTCTATATATCATATCACGGGTACATCTTCTGGTGAATCGTATGTGAACTTCCCTGGGGCATTTGTGTCGTCTTGCGTAATTTGTATTGACCCGGTAAACTTCATCAAACTCTTTTTGGATATCATCTCTGTCCTTCTTCAAAAGGCCGGACAGTATTTCTGCCATCAAGTATTCCAGGTCTTCCTCTTTTGATTCCGCCACATTTTGAAATCTTAAGTAAGTTGCCGCCTTGTCCATCTCTAGGAGGACCAATGAGTCGTCCATTTCTTTACTCATGTTTTTAAGATCTTCACCCACTCTTTCTAATTCCTTTTCCGTTCGGTCAGTTCTTTTTTCTACCTCTTTTATTATAACTTCATTTTTCTCCAAGGCCTGTTGCAGTACTCCCACTTTATCCTCTACTTTAAAGATGTCCGCCTTCATTTCTGCCTTTAATTTCCCCATCTCTTCCTTCAGTTCATTAATATCTGCTCTTGTTTCCCTGTGGTTTTTAGTCATTATTTCTTGCAGTTTTGTCAATGAGTCCTGTAAAGTTAGAAACATTGCTTGGATGTTGGCATTCGAGATGCTAGTTTGCTTCTCTATTGGTAGTGTTTCTTCTATTGTTTTTTGCGCCATGGGTGAAGTTGTTGCTAAAGTAGTTGTTATTGTGGGGTTGACCTTTCTGCCAGTTTTCAACGCTGTAGTAGATGTAGAAGTCATTTCCTGTAAAATTTGTTTTTGTTGTTGCACAATGCTAAGTATATTGTTCCAAATTGGCATTCAGTGTTCTTAAATCTATTACTAGAATTGCTCAAGGTCTATCAATCTGTTAAATAATTGTATTCTTAACTAATTAATAAGATAAATCTGTATTTCACTGATTTAACTTAAATGTAAAGTAAGCTTAGTTACAAAAAATGTTGCATTCCTAAATATTCCTAGATATGATCACACAATGCAATATGATATTAAACTAGAGAACTCTAAAATTGTTAATTAATCAATACCCAATATTCCTACTATCCCCCCTATATTCCCACACAGAATATAGCAATCTTTGTTATTAATAACTTAACTAAATTAATTAATCCAATATTTAACAACCTAATATAATGTGCATATCTATCAAGAGAAAATCAAAGAAAAAGCATAATTCAACATAACATGATATCAACTGATAGGAAAGAAGGGAGAATATTTTAAGTAAATATATGCGCAAAGAGGAAAGTAAAAAAGAAAGAAAGAGAAGCTCTAGAAATATAATTTTTAGTTTTCACTTTTCAATTTGGGAGCTTTCACTTTAAGCACACCAGAAATGGAAGGTGAAAAGCTGCTCAGTAACAGCTACAATTAAACAGCGTTCTCACTCATTCAAAGGTTTCCAATTTTTTCAATTGCCCTGATTTCCTTCAAGAGAGGAGGGGAAAAAAGCTGTCTCCTCCAGTGGAGCAATATCCTCAGGTTCCCAGGGATTGTTTGAATAAATTGTGTCCTTTCAGTCAGTTAAGTCTGTTACTTTGTTGCAGCCACCTCAGCGTTCTAAATGCCCTTCCCCGATCAGCTTAGTTCTGCTTTCTGGCTCCGGTTGTAAAAGGATCTGCTCAAATGCAAATGGTAACTAGATCTTTTCAGTCACTTCGTAATGCTGGATTCCTCTTTAAATCTTTGTTATTCCACCTCTCTTCTGTCTGCCGAGCCCCTTCGCTTTCACTTGCAAATTCGCTTTTGGCCGCTTTCTCTTAGGGCTCCCAACAGACGCTCTTACAATATATCACAGCTTAAAGTCAATCTGTATTCTTCCAAATTTCTTCTCCGCCACTAACTTTAATCATCACTCTCTTTCCCAACGAACTTGCAAACTGTCACTCACTCTTTCCTTCACATCGGTGGCAGTCAGGACTTCGGAGCCTCCATTAACATGGGGCTATTCTTGATCGTTGGGCCCTGGAGGGTTTCCTCTTCGTTGCAGGGGGGGTTGCCTTCCCCACCCTACGATCCGAGGTTCCCCCACACCGGCACGGGTCTCTCCAGGACTCGAGCACCCCGAAAGATTGCACCAAACTCAAGAAAAGGTTAGCTGAAACCACAGCAGATTTCTACCCCTCTGCTCGTCCTTGCCTTGCCACCGGAAGCTCATTATCAATCCCCTGCGCAAGGATGACACGCAAATTCGTGAAGCATTCCATATTTTTGTCACAAATTAATCAAATAAACCCTTTCTTAGTCTTTAGCCGCCTTGAAAAAGGTAAGAGTTTTATAGGCCCAAGGACTTTTCTGGTTCACTCAGCTCTCGGGCATTGAAATTATAGTTTCCCAAGCAACAGGACTACAGGAGCATTGCCCACTCAAGTTGCCCACTGGAGAACACAGTTCTGTAAGAACAATGGAAATGGAACAAATAGGAAAGATACAGCAATAAATTCACCATCATCCTGCAGTTCTCCTATTAGTTCAATTTGCCCTTGGTCATAATAATCTTATTGTCAATTCTCCAGTAAAACGTTCCCTCCAAACTTTCCCTTAAATGGTTATTCCGCCCACTCAGAGTTAAACCAAGGCAATTATGGGTAACTCCCATAATGTTACATTGATTCTGTGGGAATTTGGTGTATTTTCAGCACATTGGGGTTAGTCAGAGATGGCACCAGATTGGTATATTTGTTACGTGAAGTAAGAGTTAACAAAAGCATGTTGTAGGCCACTCAGAATTGCCTGTGTGTGAGTTGGGCAGTGATATAAATTTGTTTAATAAATAAAGTCAGAACTGAGGAAGCATCTTGGATGAGAAGTGAAACATCTTCAAGGAAGAAATGAAGGGAAGTCCAGTTGCCTTTGAAAAAGCATCGTTGAGGCAACCATGACCTGAATGACTGAGAATCTCTGTAGAGATTGAATTAAATTTACACAGGAAGTAAAACTGTGAAGGAAGCCGTAAGGAACGGCACATTGTACCCAGGTCCTGTCCTAATGTCCACAAGTCAATTTGTCAGATAGACAACCTCCTGAAGAGCTACTACTACTTACAGCAGATAGTAAATTACCTTGGAGTTTCCCAGAGTAGTGCCTTCTGATTAGGTTGCACTGCAACTTCTATTATTCTCAGTCATTGTGTCCAAGGATAGGAAATATGGTGGCTGTGGTCCAGTCCAGCATTTCTAGATCAGGAGTCTCCAACCTTGGCAACTTTAAGACTTGTGAACTTCAACTCCCAGAATTCCTCAGCCAGCTTCTGGCTGAGGAATTCTGGGAGTTGAAGTCCACAAATCTGAAAGTTGCCAAGGTTAGAGACCCCTGTTCTAGAGGGTTCCAGGCAAGGCAAGGGAAGGCTCAGCTAGATGAATTGCAAACTCAAGATTCCTTTGGTAACAGCTATGTGGGACATTATCTCCACTGCCTAATTTCTGCTTCTATTGCAGGATGGAAGTCAAGGGAAATGGAGGAGATTGTGCATTTTTGGACGAAGAAGTCACAGCCATGTCGGTGAGATGCAGCACTGAACACTACTACATGTGCAAAAAACCAATGCTCCAAAAGATCCTGAAAGAGAACTGGAACTGTTGACTTTAAACAGTTCATTTAGTGACTATTCAAAGTTATAACAGCATGTCTCTTTAACTTTCTCCCAACGTGAGCTGGCGATTTATGTTATTGCGATTGGAACAAATGGGCTTTGGTAAAAAATTTACTCAAGCCATTGCAACGATATATTATGAACAAACTGCAAAGATTATGGTAAATGGAGAATTAACAGAATCCATAGATATAAGAAAAGGGACAAGACAAGGTTGTCCACTGTCGCCTCTGCTGTTTGTGTTAACTTTGGAAGTGTTGAACAGGAATATTAGAGAAGATAAAGAAATAAAAGGAATGAAAATTAAAAAGGAAGAGTATAAATTGCAAGCTTTTGCAGATGATCTGGTATTTATACTAGAGGATCCATTGGAAACAGCACCTAAATTAATAGAAAAGATAGAAGAATATGGAAAAGTAGCAGGTTTGAAAATAAATAAAGATAAAACAAAGATATTAACAAAAAATATATTAGCAAGACGAAAGAAAGAGTTGGAAGAAGTTTTAGAAATACAGGTCATAAAAAAGGTTAAGTATTTAGGGATACACATTACACCAAGATGTAGTACATTTAAGGAGGACAATTATATTAAACTCAAACAGCAGATTGCGACAGATTTGACAATTATTCAGAGCTTTTTAAACCACCTTCTCTCCTCCCACTTCTACACTTCATAAATCACGAGAACCAATTAACTGCCACTGGAATTTCTTAATACTCCATACAGAATAACCTTGAACTTTTCAACTCCTCCAACTCTCAAAAAAATGTGGCAGCTGAATTTCAAAGCTGACAGTATGTATATAAGATGGAAGATGTTTTTTATGTTTTTATGTTTTGTTTGTATGTGTTTGTCTTAAAAAAATAAAAACTTTTTCAAAAAAACAAAACAAATTATGCTTCTTGGCTTGTACTACTTGTTAAGCCTGGTCCCCCAACGAGTGTTAAGGAAACACGCTAAACAGAATGTGCAGCGTTAGTCAGGTAGGCAGACAGGTAAATGTGTGAGATAAGTTTGTATATTAGTTAACACTCAGTAAAAAGCAGATACGCTTGTGCTATCAAAATATAGTTTATTCCATTAAGAATCTATAGCATAGTCAAAAACAGTCCATTGGTCATGTATCATTTCATTCAGTCCATTCAGGGATACTCAATTTGCAATGTCCGTGTTGAATATTCAATGTCAATTCACTTACAATAAATCAGTTCGTATTATCTCTTCTCGCTGTTGAGAAATCAACACTCCTTTCTCTCTCCCGTTCCAGTAAGGAAAAACGCAGTCATCAATCCATCCACTAATTAGGGATCATTAAACCAGAGAGCGAGCTGTTGTCTTGCTCCTTTTATGGTGCTTTTACAACCACACCCTTAATTACATTCTTGCAGTTAAAGTTGCACACACTTTAACCAACAAACCATGATAAGTTATTTATTATTTTACCTAAACCAGTTAGGGTAAACAATGTTATCCCTAACACTACTGAAGGGAATAGTAATAATAAATAAAGAAATGTCGTAGAATATATTATAGCATTAAATAGAAAGTTACTCTATAGGCATTTGTTATCTTGCTGTTGTAAAAAAAAGATTTCCTTAACCCTTCACTTCTATCAAATTCTGTACCTGTCAACAGTGGTGTCCCCCAAGGCAGTGTTCTAGGACCAACTCTTTTCATTCTCTAAATAAATGACCCCTGTGATCGTATCAAGAGCAACTGCGTTCTCTTCGCTGATGATGTAAAGCTATTCAACACCACAGACAATACTGCTACCCTTCAGAAAGACCTTGACTATGTATCAGAATGGTCAAACAAATGGCAACTTCAAATCTCAACAAATAAATGCTCTGTCCTACATATTGGCAAAAAAAAATATCAGAAAATAAAATACAGGCTGAATAGTCAAGACCTTGTTGACGATCTAAACTCTGTCAAGGATCTTGGAGTATTCATCTCTAATGACCTAAGTGCTAGAGCCCACTGTAACTACATAGCCAAAAAGGCATTAAGAGTTGTTAACCTAATGTTACATAGCTTTTTCTCTGGTAATACACTAATAACTAGAGCATACAAAACATTTGCTAGACCAATACTCAAATACAGCTCATCAGTCTGGAACCCACATTATGTATCTGATATTAGCACAGTTGAGAAAGTCCAGAAATATTTCACAAGAAGAGTTCTCCACTCCTCTACTTGTTGCAGAATACCTTATGCCACCAAACTCGAAATTCTAGACCTAGAAAACCTAGAACTACGCTGCCTTCTGTCTGATCTAAGTATAGTATATAAAATCATACATTGCAATGTCCTACCTGTCAGTGAATACTTCAGCTTCAGCGATAACAACACAAGAGCAAACAATAGATACAAACTCAAAGTTAACCGCACCAAACTTGATTGCAGGAAATACGACTTCAGCAACAGAGTGGTCAATGTCTGGAATACTCTACCTGACTCTGTGCTTTGTTCCCCAAACCCAAAAAACTTTAACCTTAGACCAGGCTTGTCCAACCCGCGGCCCACAGGCCACATGCAGCCCAGGTCACCTCGTAATGCGGCCCAACGCCCACCCCAACCTTCATGAAAGATCCAGCGAGGAGGAGGAGGAGAGGCAGGCGCGAGGCGGGGCGAGGCGAGCAACAGAAAAGGCGGGCAGCCACAGCCCAAGAGTCCCACCCTGCCACCTCCTGCTGTTGCCGCTGCCGCCACCGCTGCTGCCGCCGCTGTTGCTTCTGCCCCCCCCCGCCGCCGCCGCCACTGCTGCTTCTGCCCCCACCGCCGCTGCTGCTTCTGCCCCCGCCACCGCCGCCTCCGCTGCTGCATTTGCAGGAGAAGAGGTAGGCGCGAGGCGGGGCGAGGCGAGCAACAGAAAAAGCGGGCAGCTGCAGCCCAAAAGTCCTGCCCCGCCACCTCCTGCTGTTGCCGCCGCCGCCACCGCTGCTGCTTC